TTTCAGATTTAGCCCGGACCTTTTGCTCGGAGGCCTTTCTTGGATGAGCAACCGCGTTAAAAGGTGCTTGCTTGGTGAACTCGGACCCGATCGCTCACATCTGGGTCAGCGGCGGAAGTTTGCCACGAAAGCTCAAGGGGAGTCCGCATTTGTATGGGGTTTTGAGCTGAAATAGCCATCGTGGAGATTATTCGGTGCAGTTCACAGCCATACCCTTCTTAAGACCAAAAACACTCTAGTCTTTTTAGCTACAAGCCGATAAAGATGTCCCAACTATTTCAAGGTTATCCAAGCATGCATAACATCATAGTGACGTCATTCAAGTTGTGCCGACCCATATGCATTGCGGCGTTCAATGCCAGTGAGAATATTATCGTCGAACAGTTCATACCTGGCATCCGTAAGCACGGCTTCCAAAAAAGGAACCTCAATTAGTTCTCAATCAATGTTCAGCAGGCTTTGCAAGTTTCAGTTTTGTGGTACATGAGATAAGAAATTGGGCATAATTGCTAGTTAATATGCAAATGAGACTTAATGTCTGGCACTCCATTCCCACTTAAGTATATACCAATGGTTATAAGTGAGCTTATTTTATCGTATGTGATACATACTTCAATGCTTCAAATATGGAGCCTTTCATTTACATGGAATGTTCCACATTTGCAGACAATGAGTTGAGCAACAGATATGATGTAAAAAGCTGAGTTGTAATCATTGGTGTACTTCGAAGAACAAAAGACTGCTCTGTGGAGAAAAAATTCATTTGCAGGAAATACATCTTCAACATGTCATCGTTTGGTCACGTCATGAAACGTTTTTATGACATCAGAGCCACTGCTAGAGTGGGACGTCAGGTTGCCACTGCAGCGGACGGGCTGACTCACTTGGAGCACTTCAACTCAGCGAGAGGTGCCCTGTTAATTGATGCGTTTGTACTGAATGACGCCGCCCACTGGTGGAGCCCCGTCCGCTCTTACACATACCCCGCAAAGGGTTCATTGTGCCGGCACAGCCTCGGCCGGATAGGTCCCCACTTCCCAGGTACATGGAGTCCTGCCCCACCACTATTCATTTTTCTCCATCACATAGCTCTGAAATGGCCACGATTGACCGAAAGGGCTCTGATCGAATGGCCAAATAACCAAATCGCGTTTTTGTGCGTGGTGTGGTGCGTGATAAGTGGCGCGATATAGTCTGCACAGGCTCGCGTGCGCCTGGACCAGAAGCGAGATAGTTTCAGGCATTAAAAGGGGTACCTGTAAGCTGTACAAAATTATTTGTAAAATGCTTAGCCTAGATCCTAACTCCATCAAGCGTGGAACAGCCTTTTTTAATTTCTTCTAGATCCAATGTCAGCGTTTATCTCAGGGAAACCATCGTTCAGAGGGGGGTCATCAACTTGCGAGACATTCCATTATCCGTAACCTGTGCTAACATTTTATCCGATTTAGCACTCGCGTGCACCTTGACAAACGCAACTAAAAATTGTGTAACTACCATGTTATAGTATATATTTTTATATCCGACCGGCATTGCCACTAAACTACCATTTGCATTTCGACGTGGTTGTTGTTGAATTGCATGATATAACTATCGGTAAACTGAGCGATTCATTAAAAAAAAATTAGGCAACGAGCCATAATTTTTATGAAAATACCTCCTTTGGTCAATTGCGCCACGAGAACACCTAACCTGACGTTTGACACTACGTTAAAGGGCATGGTGTTTTTCATATTGGTACGGGGTTTCGAACTGAAATAATTATTTTAAAGACTATTCGGCATAGCTCAAAGCCTGTCCTTTTTTTAGACCTAAAACATCTTTGTTTCTGGGCTATACGCCCGCGACGATGCGCAGACATTTCGTGCAGACTGTTTAAAGGTCATTCAGGTATACATGACATCACAGCAACGCTTTTCAAATCCTGACGTTCTATTGGCCATGCGGCAATCAAAGCCAAAAATTATAACTGTCGATTCGCTTATATTTGGCAATCGTGAGCACGATTTCCAGATATAATTGGCTCTTAATCGATGACATGCAAGGCACGATGGCATGACCTAGCAATGATGCATTGAGGGGCATGTTTACTACACAGAAAAATTGTGTTGTATTGAGCAGCCTCTTCAGCTTAAAAGTGTGACGATAGCTACAAACAGCTTATGTTTCATATGTAATGCTTGACTCGAAATTTCCATTTGTGAAACATCTCCTTTAACACTTTTTTGAAGGCAGTAACCAAAATAAAATCTTAGAATCAGAACAAGGGGTGTCCTGTTTAAAACCCATGGGGGAGGCTGAACCGACAAGGTTGACCTAACTTAACCCCAAACCCTGTTGAGAATTTCGGTCGTTTTGGCAAGTGTTATAAGAATATCAATTCCTTTCCAAACTGCTTGCTGAGGAGGAATATCGTTCATTGTCCAGGCGTGAATGCAGTTCACAGAAAAACAACTTTTGACTAATTCGAGCCCTTGTGATCAACGAAAATAGGTGTGGCTCTCGGGTCATTGAAGGTGGTCCGATGCACAAAAAACAGCTTGAAGTGGAACAGCGTGGCTTGATATGTAATTTCGGGCTCACCGCCAGATGTATCTGTTTGTATGAGTAATACTAAACTTGCGCGACATTCTTAACAAACATGGCGACAACTGGAACAACAGTGTAGGTAAAGGCAAGTGACTGAATCAGTCTCCAGGGGTCATTACAAAATAGCATGACCAGTGCTTTGACACGAGTTGAAAGTTGATTTTCTTATTATATAGTGTATAATAATATCATATAGATTAATTAATATTGGCAGGAGAAGCTTGAAGCTTGGTGTTCCGGGATCATGACTCGGCAAGTCTCATGTTAGTCCTGTCCGGCAATGTACTTAAGCACGTCCTGATAGCTCAGCTGACTAAAGCGCCTGCCTTAATATCCGCAGACCTGTGACGGACGGACTTCGAGTCGTTTTAGGCGTTTGCTTTTTGTTTCCGACTGGGATAGCCTGTGGCCGGTGGTAGCGGCAGCATTGATGTTCTGTTAGGGGAATGCTCCTCAGTTGGACATGTTGAAGAATATGGGCTTCAAACTGTAATAGCCATCGCGAAGATCATTCGGTGTGAGCCTGTACAATTCTCATCAGATATGATGACAGAAGCTTTGTTATAAATATTGGTATACTTTTAAGTGCACAATGCTGCTCTGGAGAACACAGTTTATCTGTTTCGTTAATAGGGTATTCAATACGTCATTGTTTGAACACGTCATCATACGTAATAGAGCATTGATTGAGGGCCAATTAAAGGCGTTACGTCTAGAGACCGTGCTCACGAATGCCAGGTATGAACGGCTTGAAAAGCATATTTGTCTTGCCCTTGATTGTCGCATGGCTTATGGAATGTCGGGATTTGGATGACTTTATCATGGCGTCGTTGACGTCTGGGAGCCTTGAAATAGTCTCCCCGAAAAGTATGCACAGCTTCGCGGGCATGTGGCTCAGACACTAAAGGGGCAGCACTGTGGTCTAAAGAAGGGTGGCACTGTGAACTGCACCGAATGATTTTCAACATGACTCATTTCAGAACAAAACCCCATACAAATTTTGACCACTCCCTTGGAGGAGGGCTCCTTGAATCAGTGCAAGAAGATATTGGTTCCACTTGAATATCTTTAAGCAAGCATCAGATAAGATGAGATAGGCCTACCTGTAGCGTTTGGTATACTTTTTAGGGAGAAAAAGCTGCTCAAGACAGCTCATTTTATCTGTTAAGTAGATCAGCTCATACAAGCGTTATCATTTTATTAGGCTATTTTATCTTGCACAACACTAATTGTTAAGTGACAGCTGTTATATCTGGTAATCGTGCTCACGAACGCCAGATATGAACGACTCGACGATTATGTTTTTCTTTGCTATAACCGTTGCATGGCCAAAGGCGCAGTAGGATTTGAATGACGTTATTTTGGCGTCATCGATGCCTGTGTGACCTTGAAATAGTCTCCCCGAAATAGCTTGCACATTTTCGCTGGTGTGTAGATGAAAAGCTCGCGCGGGTATATGTCTCAAGAGGGGTAGCGCTGTGAACTGCACCGAATGATCTTCAATATGGTGATTTCAGCTCAAACCAGATACAAATGTGATGCATTGCCCTAAAGGGAGTGTTTCACATTTTTATGGGGTTTTTAATTGAAATAGCCACATCGAATACCTTTCGGTATTGTTCACAATCCTGCCCTTGTTAATGCTTAAGTGTTTGAGCTACACGCGGGCGGAGATGGGCAAATGTATATCAGGGAGAGTATTTCAAAGCCACCATGGCATTCATGGGGTCATAAAAACGTTGTTCATATCCCCATTTCTGTGAGCCATTTGGTGATCAAGGCCAAGAAAAAAATGATTGTCGAGGCGTTCATATCTGGCGTTCAGGAGTGCGATTTCCTGATATAACGGCTGTCAAATGGCTTTCAATCAATGTTGTGCAAGCTACGATGATCTGATCAAATCATAGCGCATTGAGCAGCATATTCACTAATCAGAGAATGATGATGTCTAGAGCAGTTTTTCCACTAAAAAAGGCATGCCAATAGTCATAAGTGAGCTTGTTTCACGAAATCTAAGTCTTGCCTTACTATCTTCACATGTGAAGTAACCCATTTTAACGTCAAAGGACAGCCTAAACTATGCCGGGCATCGTTACTTATGCAACAAATACTTAATATTCTTTAAATGGCGAATCATTTAAGTGTTTTACTTGGCTGTATTTTGTTGCAGAGCTACACACTTGCAACAAATGCATCCCACTTAGCAATGACGGGCTGATAAGTGGGTGTGCACACTGAAGTAAGGCTGTATATTAGATCCCAAAAGATATGACGTCATTTGTTTTGACATTAGTCGCGCTTTTGATACATATACGGTGTCGGTTTGAGATTCAGGGTGATTCCATCGCGCCGCGCCGGCGTTTATTGTTATGCTCTTCGCATGTATTTCATACTTAAACATAAACTAAAAGCGTCTTCATGACTCCACTGATCGTGGAAAAATTTGCAAGCTGCATTTCTGAAGTTTAGCTGCTGAGGACATCCAGCACAGCACTGCCAAGCCGAGGGCCGTGTATTCGCGGTTTCACACTCAAGATATAAAGATGTCCTCAGCACTTTTACCAGTTAGTCCCAAAGTTTTTGAGGCAATGGAGAGTGTTAATGTTGCTGCACTAGCAGAGTGCTCTGAAGCAGAGATCCGCCCATTGCTGCCATGCTTGGTTCGGATGAGCCTGATAGCACCACTGGATCAATCCAATGAGTGCATGGAGAAAAGGAAAATAATCTTACGCATCTTGTCTGGCATAGAAGTTGTCAATTCTCTGGTTGCACTTCTATCAGTAAGCTTCCCACAGCTTGAAGCAGATGTCAAAAAAGAGCAACAGCTTAGGTAAGCCTGCATGCATGAAGTTAAACCATCTGTGGTGTTTCCATCATATGGTTTAGAAACTGGCCTCAAAAGATGAAATGTCTTTTAAACTCTGCTCAAAGCATTCCATCAATGTATGAGGGTTTTCTTCTTTCAAGTGGTACACCAGCATCTGTGTGTGTCAAGTGTTTAACTAGGAGCATTGAGGAACTAATCTGCTCAATTTCAGAATGACTAGTCTGGTCAGTGACATTTTAATTTTGATCCTATGGCATGATAAGGAATATTCAAAAATCAGGAGATAGAAGTAATGATTTTGGACAGCAAGTCATGTTTGGCCTCGTGAATTTGTTCATGGTCACAGTGTCTATGTAATATGTGCCTAGTGTAAAGTGTAGTGTATGCTCCACATTAGTATATGCACTTGTTGACACCTCAATGTATATGATGGTGGCATTGATTTGGAGCTCATCACATGAATATGTTATTATGAGATTTTAGGTGTCCGAGCTATTTTTACATGTTTTTGTGTGGTTGCTCTCATAGGTCAAAGATGGGAGCCACAACAGACAGTGTGCTGTTGTCATCAGCTCAGGATGCAGGGGCACCAGATTTTGAGAGAAGTGAACCCATCCAAAAGCTGAAGTTGGTGCTTGCCACTCTTATTCTTGTCATGGCCCAGGTAAGGAAGTAATATCATAAGCTGAACATGATATGCATGTGTATTTTACCATATAACACATCAAGAAATATTTGTGCATCTGTTTTATCAGAATTGTGTAGATGCCAACCACTATTAGCATACAATGGGTGAAAGAAGTTTTGACAAATATTTTTGAGGGGATCCATGCAGCACCATTAGCATGGTGACATTTGAGGCAATCCATGACTGCACATCCCCCCCCCCCATCTCTCCTGTAGCTAAACCCATGAAACCAGCATCCATCTACAATCCAACAAAGCCAATGTAATCCTTACCACATTTTGTGTGACACCAGCCTGCCAGGTGTGCGATCTGACACAAGCTGATTGGGCATGACCTGGCCGCCGCAGGCCCGTGACGTGCGCCAGGAGTTCAGCGTGCAGCCGTCAGAGCTGCTGGACAACACCGTGCACCTGGAGGACGCGGCCGACATCCTGAGCATCGCGCTGGCCGAGCTGCCGCAGCTGCTGCCGCCGGCCGACGTCAGCGAGGGCCTGCTGCGTCTGCGGCACGGCGCCACCCTCATCTGCCGCCTAGTGGCCAACATGCCGGACGCCTTCCACGAGGGTGCGTGACGGCGGCGAGGTCGGCTGCGCCGCGCCGCGCCCCGGCCGGGCTCGGCCCAGTTCCGTACGGATACGGTTTGTTTCGCTTCTGTCCCTCCACTGCTGTTGGTACGGCTGGGGCACTGCTTCCGCGATCTCAAGGGTAGGGCGGGCGGTGGGCATCGCTGCCAGTTGGCGAGTGTTTGCACTGTGTTTGAATGTCGTCAGTGATGATTTGCTCGCCTCTGCCACTCAAGGATTTGATTGTAGTGGGCTGTAAGTGGCATTGTGTGTGTCTTAGAGCATTGCCAACTCGCGCTTGCCATCCACACATGGTCAGCTGTGGCAACAGGCGTCAAATGACTGCATGTGCTGCGTGCTGGCCTCCTACCCCACCCAGTGAGAGCTAGGCGCCATGTGCACTCTGCTGACCCTCCACCCCTCTGTCACCCAGTATGTGTCATGGTGTGCACCCTCTGGCTGACCCTGCGCCCCTCTGCCTTGCAGTGTGCACGTCGCTGGTGACGAGCGGGGACCGGCTTGACGAAGACTCCCCCGGCGGCGCGGCGCGCATCACAGCGCTCCGCCAGCTCTGCCAGATGAACCCGCGCCAGGTGCTCGCCGTCCGCGCCGTCTGCGTGAGTGCCACTGAGGAGGGCAGGCGAGCGGAGGGTGCCAGTGTGCCATGTCGTGCGAACTGGTGCGCCGCTGGACAGAAGGGTAGGGTGGGATCAGGGCACTACCTTGATGCTTGGTATTGTGGCGCTGAGGAACGCCAGGTTTCCAGAATGTGTGTCACGTGGTGCAGTTAGTTTGGAAAGTTATGTTTTTTGATGGGGTTTGTTGACTTATCGGCTACTCCTGGGAAACAACCAGAGCCTTCCAGAGGCGGATCTTCTTCCGGTGCGTAATACCCTCTACCTGACCGACCACTGGTCACCTGTCGTTGGACCCGGTCAGCAGGCTTTGGACGCGAGCTGCGTGCGCGCCTGCGCGCCGCAGTGCGCCACATTGTGGCCGCGTGCCCGGTCCGCGGGCGGCCGGCGCGCCTCACCCCGCCGCCTGTGCCGCCGCAGATGGAGACGTGCCGCATGCCGAGCCTGGCGGTGAGTTTGTCGCTGGAGCAGGCGCGCCGCACCGCCGACACCGGCGACGCCGGTGACCTGGTGGCCTTCGTCTCCGGCATCCTGCTCGGCAACAACCAGCACGTGCGCTCCTGGTTCCAGGCGCTCGTCAGGAACGGGCAGAAGGTGTGGCCGGGGCCGGATTAGGCAGGCTGGGGGGCGGCGGCGCTGTCGGGTACTGCAGCCTGACAGATCAGGCGGCGCGGCGCGGGTTCAGCAGTGGTGGAACCCTCGGGTGTGCTGTTGTCTAGTGTGGGTTGCGGAGGTGGCGTCAGTTGTGGAGGCAACCCTCTGATCTTGTTTGGGGATGTGGCGCTGCGTCAGAGGCGTCCGTAGATGTGAAGTGACCGTCTGATCTGAGAATGTACAGTTGTCTTCTCTTCAGCTGGCCTCTGCTTGAATGAGGCTGTAATGTGCAGATGGGCCGCCTACTTACGACTTGTTACGACTTGTCTACGTGCCTAACGTAATCAGGTGTCATCCGATCTCGTGTCACTCTACCTACTCGCCAGCAGAGGAACCTGACATGACGATTAAGCCTGTTGTGCATGGCAGTCCTAACGCTGCGATCCGGACGGGTGCCCACCTACTGACTGACCTTTGACCGCGCTGCCTGACCTCTGACCGCGCTGCCTGACCTCTGACTGCGCTGCCTGACCTCTGACCGCGCTGTCTGACCTCTGACCCCGTGCTGCCTGACCTCTGACCCCGCGTTGTCTGCTCCAGCGGAAGGGCACGCTGGTGTCGTCCACGCTGCAGTCGCTCCGGGACCGGTTGCTGGAGCGCCTGCAGAACACCCTGCTAATGGCCATGAACCAGCGGCTGCCGGACTCGGGCGTGGTGGACGCCGCCGCATCCGTCCGGCTTTACTGCGCCCTGCGTGGACTCGCCGGACTCAAGTAGGCCACTGCGGCTAGTGTGCTGTCCTCTGGCTCGAGGATTGTCAGTGGGAGACGGAGCTTAGACTCTGTGACTGCCTTTCCAGTGTTCGTTGCGACACTCACGCGTGCGTGCGTGTCGCGTCGGACATGACTTCGTGCTGCTGGGACGGGTGCAAGGGAGGCGTAACGGGCCTCCACATCCCAACTGAAGCTGGCGGTAGTGCTCGCTGTCCGGCCACGCTGCGTGCTGACCGTCTCCTGGCGAGGCCCGTGGTCCCGTGAAGTCTTTCGCATGGAGTTGGCCGGAGTTTTCTACGGACTGTACGTGGAATAGCCCTTCGCGCTGGGTTAGCCGCGTGAACACGCTGTTAGCTTGACGGCGTGACACGCATGTGTTTGCGATATCTATGTTCAGTTCGCGCAGTCCGGTACAGTCCAGCACGTTATCTGTCCCGTGGTATGACCGTGGTCCTGTCTTCGTGAGTCAGTTGCTCCGTTCGGCCCCGAGACTACACCCTCGCCGCCCCCCTCAATGGGCGCCCTGCGCTCTTCGCCGCCGCCCTACCGCTGTGACGGCGCCCCGGCGCGGTCGGCAGGTTTACGGAGGAGGAGATGCGCCTGCTGGTGCAGCTGCTGACCTCGCAGCCGCCGCCGTCGCCGGCTGGCGTGCGGTTCGTGGCGCTCTCGCTCTGCGCGCTGATTGGCTGCCCCAGCCTGCTGATGCACGCCGAGCACGAGCGGCGCGCCGTCGGCTGGCTCCGCTGGCTCGCCACGCAGGAGGCCTACTTCGAACGGTGAGCCGGAGCCGGGCGGGTCGGCCTCCAGGCTGACGCCCCGGGAGCTGTGGTTATCTGGCGGTTGGAGGTCCCCTGTCGTGCCAGACGGTGTCCAGTGTCACGCTTATCCAGGTTCGCATCAGAGACATGGAGACCCGCTGTATGAAGGCTCGGCCGATGTGTGGTACCGTAACGAATTCCTCCCTTCTTTTGCTTGACATTTGTATCAGTTTGTCGTCACCTCTCCTCGTGCCACGTTATTGACTGGTGATGTCGTGTGACACCGGCCTTCGTTCTGAGTCCCGTTGACACGGCGCACGTGGTGGCCCAGGTCGAGCGGCGAGTCGGCCTCATTCGGCGAGACCCTGCTGCTCTTCGCCATCCACTTCCACGCCGGCAACCTCACTGCCATCATCGAGCTCGTCAACAACACGCTCGGCATGAAGATGAACATCCGCCAAAGTAACCTGAACCGCATTAAACATATCTTCACACATGACGTGTTCACTGACCAGGTGGGTGAGACCAGGCATCGCCTGACGCCGGGACTCCTATCACCCGAGAATGCCACAGTGCGCCCCTCTGGCGAGAGGGTCACTAGTATGTATCTTACGGATGTGTGCCATGGACAAGTCGTATTAAATCTACGATGGCTAGTTACGCCGATAAGAAGCGCGTCAAGATGCCTCAGATTATGTATCATACTTATCATAAAATGTGAACACTGCGGGACTCACCAAGTCATGAAACCTACATCACCCACCGGTGATACTATGACAGCTCTGAAAAGCCAACAGTGGGCTGCATCTAGTGTCTGCGGTTGGCGGACCGTTCCATCCATATGCATGCGCCTGCAGCGCATGGAACGGTCCTTAAGTTGGAAAGTTCGCCTGGAAAGTTTGCTGAGCTTCTTGCGCGACGCCCATTGTAGGCTGCAACGTCACGACTGACGTCATCTGCAGGTGGTGACGTCACACGCGGTGAAGGTGAAGGTGACCCCGTCGCTAAGTGCTGACATCCCGGGGACGTTGCCCGTGCACTGCGTGTACCAGCTGCTGAAGACGCGCGCCTTCACCAAGCACAAGGTGCCGATCAACGACTGGATCTTCAGGTCAGAGCCGCTGCTGGACCGATGGCTGGTCGTGGGTTCGGTGAAGTCCTGTTGCGGACTTAACGAAGAAGGCACAAATGTGATACAAGGGCGACATGCACACAAATCCAAGTGACATCTAAGTGCGAGAGGAAAGTGGTGCTATTACCTCAGTTTTACTGTTGCCACGATGTGATAGGCTCGTTCTTTTTTGCCACCTTGACATGCATGAGATACTTATTTGAAAACCAACACCCTCAGTAATATTGGTAGTATTTTGACTTGTAAGATGGCGAAATTGTTGACCAATTGTTCCGCTCCTAAGACGGTGTCATGCTATGTTGCCAGTCTGCTTATGTATTGCATTTAAAACACGAAACGATGTACGTAATCAATGTGCCTGCCTCGTGATCTCACCGCGATGCGTTTCCAGGCAAATCTGCCAGAGTAAGACGCCTCTGCATCCCGTCCTCCCATCTCTGATCGACCTCTACGTCAAGTCCATGTTGGACACAACCCAAAGGCCTCAGCAGGTATAGACCGTCGTCAGCGGGTGCTCTATTTTGGATCGCCGGTCGAATTTTTAAAATCCTTGAAAAGGTTTTGATGCAAGCTCTCAGATGAATGTACCTTTGTCATTTGGAAAAGTTTTCATCTGCACAAAAACCTCCGTGGCCAGATCTGGAAGTGTGCACTACCATTTTCGCGCGACTGCTTGCTTTGTGAAGATAGATCGCGCAGTAATTCATGTTTACGGATGGTAGCGAAACAGCACTAGCATATGATGATCACAAACCTAACAGCGGATGTCTGCAGGTAGATATGCAAGTGAGCACGGGTCATTAGCTATTAATTTGTTCGTGAGCCGCGCTTGTGCCCGCACTGTGTCGATGGGCGATGCGCGCAACGGCTTGTGCCCGCACGTGTGAGCCGCGTGACTGGACGCCTCCCGTGACCGCCGGCCGCCGCCGCCGCCGCAGCAGGAGCACACGAACCAGCCGATCGCCGAGGAGCAGATCGCCTCCGTGTTCAGCGTCTCCTGCTTCCCGTCGGCGGACGGCGCGCCGGCCGCCGGCTGGCTGGTGGAGCCAGCCACCGCGCAGCTGCTGCTGCTCTACTACCTGCTGCGTCACGACGAGCGGCGGCTGGCGGCGGTGCGGCCGCTGGCGGCGCAGGGCCGCGCGCCGGCCGCCTACCGCGGCGCGCTCGTCTGGCAGCTGCCGGTGCTGTACCTGCTGCGGCTGGCCGAGCGGCGCCAGGCGCAGTACGCCGGCCTTTTCTCGCCGCTGCTGGGTCTGCTCACGAGCCACAGTCCACAGCTGTGTCTGGTCACACACTGGATCACCGCACAGCCCGACGAGCTGGAGGGCGCCGCCGCCGAGTGCGCGCCCCCCTCCGCCGCGCAGATCGAGGAAGGTGAGGCCCTGGCCCAGCCGGGCTCACCCGCGTTCCTCGTGCCGCGGTGGATTCAGAGGTCGTGCCCCCGCTGATGACTCGTGCCGGTGATGGAGCACGCAGGGACCCACAGGCTAGCCCACTTGCTCGTGACGTTCTTTCCCGTTATGTTTTAACACTCCACGGGTGGGGTCCTCTCTCAGCGATTAAAGGACAGTGTCATGATAGTATGGTCAGGTTGCAGTGTTTTTTCTTTGTAGAAAGTTTCGGCAAAACAGGCTTTCTTAAGCGCAGGAATGATGTTTTTTTCGTAACGTGTAGCTTGTGAATTCTAAGCAGGCAAGAACCTTGGATGCAATAATGTTACGGGGTTTTAAACGACTTGATTCGATTGAACGATTTGAAATGACGACTAGACGTACAGGTTTGGCTCTCCGCCAACGTAGAATTGACTCGAATGCAAATGGCTCCCTGATTGTATCACTGCTATTTCTCAAATCGACCCTCAAGCATCTCCGTGTGTGTGTGTAGGGAGGGGGGGGGGGGGGGTACTGCATGATTGCAAACATCGTACGCGGTTGGTGGCCTCATGTAGCTGATCGTACCATAGGTACAAAATTTCTGCCTTTGTGCTGAACTCTGCGTCACCAGCTAGCGCTGCGCGCCGCCAAGCCGCGTGGGGCGAGACGCGCCGCACCCTCGGCTCCCTGCCTGGCTGCGTACGCTGCTGCGTCCAGTGGCCGTCCGCCTCTAGGTGTTCGCCGGACGTACCTGGATCGACCCCGTCCGCGTCCCTGCCCGGACCGTGCGGCTGCGGGTATGGGGCGGTGGCCTGGCCGTGCTTGACTCGCTCCGCTCCCGCCGACAGCTCTCAGCGGCCTGCCGGACACGTCTGCCGCCGCCGGTCGGCTGCTGCCGCGCCTGCTGCAGCTGCCCGGCCACCAGCTGTGGCAGCTGGCGGGCGCGCTCGTGCCGCGCGCCAGCTGCCTGCTGCGGCCGGGCGTGTCGCGCCAGCTGCAGCAGCACTTCCGACAGCTGTGGGCGCGCCTCAGCCTGGTGTTCCCGCACCGGCTGTGGGCGATGACGGTGACGGCGCTGCGGCCAGTCGACACGGAGCCGGTGCCGCCGCGTCCGCTCACCGGCGACGACCTCACCCAGGACCCGCTGCACGTGCTGCGCTGCCACCCGGCCGTGCTGCGCGCGCCGCCGCTGCTCGAGGTCGTGCTCGAGCTGCTCAACGTCTACCTGGCGGCGTCGCGCGCGCAGCTCAAGCGCCACCTGCTGGACCACCCGTCACCTGTGCCGCCGCAGCCGTACGTACCGCCGGCCGTTACCCGCGGCAGGCGGCCTTAGGGTCCACGTGATGTGCTCTTGACTGTGCACTTCTAAATTGTGTTGAGGGCTGGCCTGGTGACGTATCGTCCGCAGGTAGGCGTAGGCTGTGGAGATGTGCCCGGTCCACTGGTGTGAGGCCGTGGTTTCTGATGTCCTTTTGATATAAGCTGCTCAGCACCTCGTGCTTTGCACTGTGGTTGTTGAGTTTTCCAGCTCATGGTTGATGTGACAAGGCAAGTTTTTGGGTTATGCTGGACAACGGATAGCAGGCGCCTACGCCTGCGATGTTCATCGTCCACCCCGGTCATGGCAAGAGATGAATTCTTCTAGGGCGGAGATGTGTAGGAAAACCTCGTCCCCCAATGCGTCGGTCATGTCCCGGCACGTACCGCCGGGTATCGGTGGCTGCCGGTCCGCGCTCGCGCCGCTACCCCGCTAAACTGCGGCCTGCCGCCGCTTGCAGGGGTATGCCGACGGACGCCGAGCGCGAGGAGCTGCGCAGCGCCCTGGTGCTGGCGCAGGACTCGGCCGCCATCCAGCTGCTGATCGAGGTGTGCCAGGAGACGGAGCAGGACCGCGCGGCGCCCGGCGGCCGCGAGCTGCTGCAGGAGGTGCGCTGTCTCGTCTGCACCTACCTCCACCAGGCCTTCATCGACAACCCCATGCTGGCCAAGCTCGTGCACTTTCAGGTGAGCGGACGCGCCAACAAGGCAAGGCAAGGCTCACCAGGTGCGGAGAGCGCCGACTGTTGCCTGCCGTGCTTTGTTCTGGTCGCGAGTTATGGCCCGGTACTTTGACGCCTCGTTTGGTCGGTGTGTCATAGTACGGCACCAACTGGAACAGCTGATGCCGATTTCCCGAAGCAATCCTATCACATTTGACGCGAATCTGCGGTCACGTGCGGCGGACTGGAGAAGCGTGCATAAGTAATGGTTTTGTCGCACGGTTGTCTCTGATTTCCTTTGTGTCGGGCTCACGCCACTTGCCTTCCAGACCTACTGTGCGTGCATGTGGCTATGTCTGCACTACAGTCGCCGTATTGAACCGCCCGCTCTCGTGTCTTGCCGTTCCGTGCGCAGGCTTCAGGCTTGATACCCTCTCGCTCTTCGAGACCGTGCGCAGTGTCTGTGACGGCTCCTCTTCCTCCCCCGTGGCAGGGGTACCCGGCCGAGGTGCTGCCCGTGCTGGTCGCTGGCGTGCCATCCATGCACATTTGCCTGGACTTCATCCCCGAGCTGCTGGCCCAGCCCGACCTGGACAAGCAGATCTTCGCTGCCGATCTGACCTCACAGCTGGCGGCGCAGTTCCCGATCCCGCGCTGCTACAGCACTGGCCGGCTGGTTATCAGCACTCTGACCACCCTGCTCAGCGGTGAGTTAACACCGTGACCACACTACCGAGAGGTAAGTCATCAGCACCCTGATCACCCTGCTCAGCGGTAAGTCAACACCATTCTTAGTGGTGAGTCAACACCCTGACCACCCTGTTCAGCAGTGAGTCATGAGTACCCTGACCACCCCGCTCAGCAGTGAGTCAATACTCTGGCCGTCCTGTTCAGCAGTGAGTCAACACCCTGACCACCCTGCTCAACGTTGAGTTAACACCCTAACAACCCTGCTCACAGCAGCCTAATCAGGATCCGTCGTCATTTCTGGATGCGTGAGGCGGACGCGGTACTCGGTGTTATCATTCGTCGACAGGGATAATCGCGGCGTAATACGAGCCGTGGAAGCTCGGCGGGTCCGCTGCAGCCGCGGGACGGCCCACCTGTTGGGACGCGGCGCGCGCTGCCGAGAGTGCGGCCTGCTCCTGTCGGCCGGCCGTCGTGTCCGCTGTCTGCGTGTGCGTGCGCGTGTGCATGACTGGCTCGGCGTCCGCCCGTGCCCGGCAGTGCTGCCGTGGACGGAGCGGCCGCGCGCCTTCCTGCCGACGCTGCCGGCGCTGGTGCGGCTGGTGCGCGCCTTCCCGCCGCTGGCGCGCGACGTCACGTCGCTGCTGCTGCAGCTGGGCCAGGTGAGCGCCAGCCACGCGGCGCTCGGCGGCTCCAGCCATGACCTGGTCATCCGGCACGACAGCCGCAAGGCCGAAGAGCGGACGGCGGCGGCCGTCCAGCTGCGACACGCGCTGCCCGCCAACGAGCTGCTGGGCATCGAGCTGCGACGCGCCTTCGAGGCCGTCTGCGAGGCGGTCACGCTGGACGGCCGCGTCTACCGTGACGGCAGCAAGGCGGCCGACGAGCAGACGCTGCAGGAGCAGGCCATGATCTCGTGAGCTGTCGGCCGCGCAGGGACATCAGCCGGTGCTGTGGCGGACGCGGCCTGCGGACGCAGAGGCTATCTTCTTGGACCGTGAGGTGTGCAGTGCCATTGGTCGGTGTTCTGAGGGTCAGGGCCTGTCCGAGCAGATGCCGGTCCCATGAAGCGTGAGCCCACAGTGACAGCAGCTAGGCAGACCCGCGGCGGTCAGGGTCCACGAGAACACGGACTAGTCCCGTGAACAAGCGTTGTACACGGACACCGCAGACTTCCGTGTCTGCTGGCACCACCAGCACTGTCCAGCTCGGCAGATCGCTCAGGGGCCGTCAGCCTTCGCCCGGGTCCGCAGAGCTGAGTACCGTGACGCCCGGCGCAGGCCGGGCCCACCTCCGACCGGGGTAGTCCGCCTGCCTCGCCGAAGACGACCTGAACGCGACCGCTGAACCGCACGCTGGGAGTTGACCTGATTGACTTTGACGATGTGAGCTGACCTGTTTGGCCTTAACCGGGTGTATGAGTGGTCTGACCCAGCACCAGACGTGCGTCAGGAGGCGCCAGTGGCCGGCCGTCTGCATCAGCGCCGACCTGTCGTGACGACCATCTGCCTGCTGACGGCATCGCGGCGGCGGTGGCTGCTTGTGATGGTCGTGCTGACCGCTGTCCGTCGTGCGTCGCCGCTGTCTGACGGTGTCGCGGCGGCGGCGGCCGCTCGTGATGGTCGTGCCGACCGCTGTCCGTCGTGCGTCGCCGCTGTCTGACGGTGTCGCGGCGGCGGCGGCCGCTCGTGATGGTCGTGCCGACCGCTGTCCGTCGTGCGTCGCCGCTGTCTGACGGTGTCGCGGCGGCGGCGGCCGCTCGTGATGGTCGTGCTGACCGCTGTCCGTCGTGCGTCGCCGCTGTCTGACGGTGTCGCGGCGGCGGCGGCCGCTTGTGATGGTCGTGCTGGCCGCTGTCCGTCGTGCGTCGCCGCTGTCTGACGGTGTCGCGGCGGCGGCGGCCGCTCGTGATGGTCGTGCTGACCGCTGTCCGTCGTGCGTCGCCGCTGTCTGACGGTGTCGCGGCGGCGGCGGCCGCTCGTGATGGTCGTGCTGACCGCTGTCCGTCGTGCGTCGCCGCTGTCTGACGGTGTCGCGGCGGCGGCGGCCGCTCGTGATGGTCGTGCCGACCGCTGTCCGTCGTGCGTCGCCGCTGTCCTGACGGTGTCGCGGCGGCGGCGGCCGCTCGTGATGGTCGTGCCGACCGCTGTCCGTCGTGCGTCGCCGCTGTCTGACGGTGTCGCGGCGGCGGCGGCCGCTCGTGATGGTCGTGCCGACCGCTGTCCGTCGTGCGTCGCCGCTGTCTGACGGTGTCGCGGCGGCGGCGGCCGCTCGTGATGGTCGTGCTGGCCGCTGTCCGTCGTGCGTCGCCGCTGTCTGACGGTGTCGCGGCGGCGGCGGCCGCTCGTGATGGTCGTGCTGACCGCTGTCCGTCGTGCGTCGCCGCTGTCTGACGGTGTCGCGGCGGCGGCGGCCGCTCGTGATGGTCGTGCTGACCGCTGTCCGTCGTGCGTCGCCGCTGTCTGACGGTGTCGCGGCGGCGGCGGCCGCTCGTGATGGTCGTGCTGGCCGCTGTCCGTCGTGCGTCGCCGCTGTCTGACGGTGTCGCGGCGGCGGCGGCCGCTCGTGATGGTCGTGCTGACCGCTGTCCGTCGTGCGTCGCCGCTGTCTGACGGTGTCGCGGCGGCGGCGGCCGCTCGTGATGGTCGTGCTGACCGCTGTCCGTCGTGCGTCGCCGCTGTCTGACGGTGTCGCGGCGGCGGCGGCCGCTCGTGATGGTCGTGCTGACCGCTGTCCGTCGTGCGTCGCCGCTGTCTGACGGTGTCGCGGCGGTGGCGGGCGCTCGTGATGGTCGTGCTGACCGCTGTCCGTCGTGCATCGCCGCTGTCCTGCCTTCTCCGCCGACGGCAGTGAGTGTACAATGTTGGTCGTCGTGATGCATGCAAGTACTTTGGAGGAGCTACAGTGGTATGGCGTGAGTTCAGTGTCGATGGAACTGTACTGAGGTCGTGACCTTGGGGCGACGCCCACTGAACAATACAGAGGCGCGTGCGCGGTAGTGTAATCTTCCTGTCGCTGTTCATTGTCGTGTTCCACGAAGCTCACACCAAACGAAACTGAACCGGTTAGATGCCAATTTAGTTTATTGGAATGCCAATACCAAGGCCCCGCAGCGCTGGGGTAGTAGCGTCATCCAAGCCAGATGCCTCTCCAATGCCGTTGACAGACATAGACACGTAGCGCCCAGAAACGCCCAAACAATAATAGTTTCAACACCACACATATTCGATACGTCAACGCACCAGGCCGGTACAGCCGTGCAATAAAATCATATGATAAGCGCCTTTGCAATACTCGACACCACCGAAAAGAAGTCAAAATAGATGGCGGATGTGCCTAGAATCGAGCCGAACGGGTCCACCTACTGACTTCTGAGTGCGGACGATTCGTCTTCCGCCCGCGGCGATCACAGACCTGTGCACAACCGGACTAGGGTGTCGGTGGCCCGGCGGACGCCGCCGCCGCGGCCGGGTGGCCGCCAGAAGGGTGCGGTGCAAGCGCGCGAGCGCGGGACGCGGCGACCAGCAGCGCCGTCTACTTGTCGTCCTCCAGGGTGTGCGTCACCTTCGAGAAGTCGAAGTCGCAGCCGAAGCCGCGCCGGAAGATGTCCAGCACGTCCAGGCACGTGGTCTCGAAGTGGCTGGTGGCGTCGTACGAGCTGGAGATGAAGATCTGCGAGCTGGTGCCGTCCTCGGCCGGCACGAAGTGGTCCGACACGGTCAGGAATCTGGCGGGGCCGCGGGTGCACGGTCAGAGGGGCGCCTGAGGCCGCCAGCACGTGGTCCGACGCCGCCAGGGGCCTGAGCGGGCGGAGACGGTCACGTGGGGCGAGGGCAGCCGGGGAACGTGTGCGCCGCGGGGCGACGGCGATCTGGCGGCACTAAATTGCAGCTGCACGGGAGGCGGTGCGCGACGGCCGCTGACGGCTTACGGCTCAGAGAACAGCCGCGACCTGACAACAGGTGGGTGCGTTCCTCCACACACTGTTGGGCCTGACATGTTCGGGAAAACATCGCATTCAGTGAGTGCGCGCAAGTCAAGGGCGACAGGGCGACAGAGACAGGGGAGGAAGGAGACTGCACGAACGCCCTACTTCTGCTTGATGGGTCCCAGCAGGTCCAGGCCGGGCTTGATCTCGGCCTCCGGGTTGTTCGTCTCCACGGTGGTGGAGACCATGGCCACGAACCATCCCTTGGCGGCCACCTGATGTGTGTAAGACACCAGCGATATGTAGATGTCTGCGGACAGACGGCCGGTGAGGAGGGCGTTGCCCGTCGCAGGTGCGGCCGCTCCAGCCGCACCGCTGACGCTCCGCCCAGCGGCGCCGAGCCAGACCACGAGGTGAACGACGACGCCGCCTCTGCGCGACACTTCGCATGCGCGCAGTGCGAACGAAGGCTGTCGCGCTGTTCGGGTGGCCGAGTGATATCGATTTTTCGCGTCTGGAGCTATTCCTAGCCTGTGAGGCAAGCCCGGCCGTCCCGGAGCGCTGCCGGTGGCAGCCCTCCCGGCCGCGTCCACCGCCGGCGCCGCCACGTACCCGAGTTCCGATTGACCTGCTTCTGCGGTATGACGATCTGCGTGGAGAGCGCGTCCTTGGTGTTGGGGATGGGGTGGTCCATCAGGCAGATGCAGCGCACCACCTGGCCGGACTGCGGCGGAGGCGGGAGGTCGGTCAGCTGGGGCCGGGTCGGAGGCTGTCGACCCCGGCGGCACCACCCACCCACGCGGACGACGGGGCCCGCTGGACCACGCCAGACCAAGTTGACAATGTATACCAACCCCAAGTAACCCACAGGACCTGTAAACTTCGGGTCAGACCTGCCTAGTGTGCCAATGCTTGCTGGACCTGCTCGGTGATCCGGCTAACCATGCTGACCTGTGGTCCAGCATACTGGTCCCATCCACCATCCGCGGCCAGGTGCCGACCTCCAATGTCCCGTGGTGACCGCCCCCCCCCCCTCGGCGGCTCACCACTGACGCAGTGGACCTGCCCCGGTGACCCCCTCTGACCCAGGCGACCCGCCATCCAGTCCGGCGTCCCCGTCAGCTGACCTTGGTCACGCGGTCGGGCACGTAGCTTGGGTCACAGTAGACCTGTTTGCAGCGGGCCACCTCGGAGCCGGAGCGGACGCCGACGGCGCGGCCGTCCTCCACCACGATCTCGTCCACCGCCTTGTCCAGCATGTACGTGCCGCCGTAGATGGCCGCCAGCCTGGGGACGGGCCGCGCCTCGGTCACTGCCACGCGTCGCGGCTGCCCGACCGACGACGCGCTGGACGCCAGGCCCGGATACCTGGGTTCGAATCCCGGGCGATGCGTACTGTTTCACTGGCGCCGTCGCAACAGCTGACGTGAGAGGCTGAGGCGCTAATCACCGTGCAGTAACACACATTAATGGGAGAAGAAACCCGAAGCAGCGACGCAAGACGTGGGGAACAACGGTGCGAGACGAGCAGGGCCCGGTCGCCGGCGTGCGGGAACTACCGCTCCGCCAGGCGGGGACCGCACGAGACAACGCCCTCCACGCCAGTGTACCACGTAGCCGACCGACAGACGTGGCCGTCACATGGCGTGGGGAAGGGGGGGGGGGGGGGCTCTCCCCACGATCCTGGTGGACTACCGCACCGCGCGCGGCCCTGCTTACACCGACGAACGGTTGCGCCCGCTGTACCACGACGTACTGCAATGCGTGACATTAGCTAAAGCGGCAGCGACAAACGACTGCTGCGGACCAAAGCCAGCCCACCATACGTCACGAACACGTGAAAAGCACTTGCAAATCGCTTTGTCCCTGGTATTTCAAGTTGCCACCGCTGTCTTCTGACCCCGAACTTGACAGAGCCGGCACGACGTCGGTCCGCGGCCACAGTGGCGCCCAAGCGCAGCCTTGTTTCCCGCTGGCCGCTGCCTCCAGCGCCACAAGAATGCCGCGGCGCCCGCTCCTGGGGCCCCGGCCCGCCGCTCTCACCTGGCGAAGCCCTGCGGCAGCTCGCCCAGCCCGTACATGGGGTACAGGTAGGGCGACTTGCCGTAGCGAGCCAGGGACTCGCTGTAGAGTCGGATCCGCGCGATGGTGGTGCCGCACGGCTGGCTGATGTAGTCGTCATTCCTGCGAAGGCAGTGGCGTGCACTGAATGGTTGTGCGACTGTGTGCGCCACTGCGGTGTTCACAGGCGACTAGTGACACGTCAGAGCGTAGCTCGTTACTTATTTCATGACATTACTGCAACATCACTTCACTGAGATGCACGCACAGACAACTAGCATCAGGTAAAAGGCATTGTCTCATTACTTCATTACTTACTGTTGCATTACTTAAGCATTGCTTGACTGATAGACATGCAGAAGTGTTTGAATCCTGCAGCCTCGTGTCGACCAACGACAGGAGCTTTTTCACCTAACCGAACGTGGGATAGCTCGCTTTAAATATGATCTACTAGTTTAACTACTATGCTTGGATATGTTGTGCGGGACGCGAGCGAGCGTTTGGTTTGACGCGCAGCAGTAAAATCACACCGGGATGGAGCAGCAGTAAAACCACACCGGGCTGGAGCAGCAGTAAAATCACACCGGGCTGGAGCAGCAGTAAAATCACACCGGGCCGGGGCAGCAGTAAAATCACACCGGGCCGGGGCAGCAGTAAAACCACACCGGGCCGGGACAGCAGCACGGCCGGTCGGGGGCGGCGGCCAGCTGGTGCGCCGTCCCCACCTGTGCAGCGCCAGCGCGTGGCCAGTGAAGTCGATCGTGTTCTCGTCGACGCCGAACTTCTCGAACACGGCGCTCATCGGCGACGTGTTCGGGTCGAGCCCCTTCCACGTGGTGGGGTCGTCGGCGCGGAAGTCCTGCACGAACGCCAGCAGGCTACGGAAGCGCCGCTTCTCGAACATGCCCATCAGGTCCGAGCTAAGCGCCTCCTGGGCGTCGGCCGGCACCTGGCGGCGGCGGGGGGGGGGGGGGGGGGGGGGAGGCCGGTCATACGCGCCCAGACCGCACACCAACCGCGCAGCGATGTCGGGGGACGAAGTATTTGCGGCGAATTATTGCACAACTGTGAAAGATAATTCACCGCAGTGTTAAGAAATAACTCGCCGCGAATGTTGCGACATTTGCAACGGGTTATTCCGCCCGTCTCCAAATCAAAGTAATCATTGTCCGCTAGGTTCCCATGACTTGGGCTTCACAGCGCGTCGACTACCCTGGTCATATAGCACCCGTTTCTGCCAGTTTCAATTTTTGCTTCACTTTTACCGCAGTTGGCAACACTATGCCTGCTTTTGGTTGAGCAAAGACCATAACCATCTGTAAAATGGTGCAATATAAGCATTTGTACCACAAACGACCCACTTTCGCCGACAAAAACTAATTCTGAATGCTTTACTAGTCAACACCAAAGTGATATCGGCCTATTTGCGATATGTGCTCTGATGTGGCGCAATTGGATAGATTATCGGTTCGCACTTTCCTCATGTGGAGCTGAGTACGCAGCGCCTGTTGGTAACAACATATCATACAGAATCCGTCATGATGACCTGAAATCCATACCGAATTTTGTTTGACGTCCTGAATTGGAGCGCACTTTTCAACATATGAGCGTGCATCTCCGCATGCGAGCATGCAACACGCTGGCTAATTTCGTAAACAATTAAACTAGAGGAAATTTTCCCTCAGACACAAACTACTGCTGTCATCCGAAGAACCAAACACGACAGTTATCAAACCGCCATGGCGTGGCATATCATGTAACGAAGACGCAGTTTCACAGCAAATGAATGGAGGTCGATTTTTTCTGGGTAGAAGAGACTCAAGAAGTGCCTTTTCACTGCCGGAGACGACACTGCCCGTGAGAACGAAAACTTGGCAACAAGGCCGCTTTCGACCTTTCACTCCAAGATCCTGACAAAATCGCAATTTTGCGGAAATGAGCCGCCATTCCTTCGATTATTGCGGTGCACACGCGTGCATGTGCGGTGCGTACTCTGGTAACCAGCATCACCAGTTAACTGTGATGGTGCCGGCGAGAGCAGCCTGAAAACAGCCGGTGCCAAGTCGCCGTCACATGGCACGGCCGACTAGCATCCATTAGCATCTCAACGCCAAAGCGCGGCCTCCCAGGACTAGCTCTGCACAGACGTACTGGGTCACAGCATCGCTAATTGTTTGCACCCGGTGCAGCGCGAGCTCGGACTGTGGGTCAGGAGCGCGCCGCGAGCACCCCCGCGCACCTTCGAGATCTTGTTGCCCTTGTAGACGTAGCTGCCCTCGACCGACTTGAACTCCAGGTAGCGCGTGACGCCTGTGTGGATCAGCAGCTTCACCAGCTGCCCGTTGGCCATCAGAAACTTGGGTATCAGGTCCACATTCCAGTCCCTGCGCCGCGAGAGGCCCGAGTGATCAGTCGGCAGCGTTCCCCACACGCGGGCCCGTATCAGGAGCAAACGTCGACTGAACGTGCCGCGATGTGATCAAACGAATGTGCACCTGCTCCACTTGGGGGCACAGGCACAGTTCCGTATTTAGTTGGACGGGAGGACCCTAGTTCATTTCCCACACTTTCGGAAGAAAGCGGGATAAGTCCGTAGAGAAACCCGTTTGCTGTTGTTTTTTGGGAGGTAAATTTGGGCACGTCTTACTGCTAAGACTCCCCAACTCCTTTTGCCGAACTTTCGCAATGGCTTGAGGATATGTCTCAGTACAGTCACGACATTGACATTACCAGCGTTCCAGAGTTCACCGCGCAGGATGTGCAGGATGTAAATATAAATCCATACTACCAGAATCCTGGCTCTCTGGCTGCCCAAGCACGCAGTTCGTTGGCGCTAATCCGTTGCCCTCTGTCCCCGAACCCAGACATCCGACCTGCCCGGCCCATTCGTGAAGCCTGAGGCAATTAAATGATGAGCTGACCGCCGCCCAGTTCGATGCTGATTGGCCGATCTTAAGCAAGGGGAGGGGCAACAGTCAGTGAAACCCAAGCCGGGGGTATAATAGCACGGGAAAACACCGGCATCTCTGCCACCGAAGTGGCCAAATATTAAACACCGCGCATCGCCCCTGGCGGGGGCCCCTCCTGACGACTCTGCCGCTCCCCTCCGACCCCTCCAGATCGATGGCAGACGCGACGACGGCGTCGGCCAGACCGGTGCGCCGCTTACCGGCCGCGGCCGTACGACTCGTCCGGCTTGGGCAAGCCGAACTTGTCGAACATCTCCTCGAGAGGCGTGATGGAGGCCGACTCGCCGCCGTAGTACTTGTGGCGGTCGATGTGCAGCACCTTCTTCCCAGAGACGGACAGCAGGCCGGACAGGATACACTCCTGAAAGAACAGCGCGCCCTCTGTACGGCCGCCGCGGTCGGAACAGCGGTATCCTATCGATGGGACTATCCTCAAGATATAAACTGGCACAAATTAGTGGTCTGAACTGTTCTTGTTGACATGTTTGTTTGGTGGCATTCAGCACCCACATAGGGGTTTTATGAATAGCACGAAGAAGGTACTTAACACATCAAATTACACCAGCAGAATCACCAAATGCTTATTAACGACAAACGTGCGTAAATACATCACCCACACTGGAAAGAACATAATAAAATGTACAAGTGAATGATCTGTTATAAAGCATAACCATAACAAGAATGCAGTTGCACACATAAAACTAAGTGTTTAACATGTGCTTTCACATTGCTTCATCGCGACTGCACACCTAAATACAAGAGCCTGTCGCGACCTAGATCGCGGTAGAGCATGGCATGCCTCCACAGCCACTGGACTCTGCACAACAGAGGACATGCCAGCCACGACTTGCACTCCATACATGCTGACTGCACATGAACCAGTTGGAGAAGCCCAGTCTCTGCGGCGAGCATGACGAGCAGATACTGCACTTTTGTCGGTCACCGTGCATCTATGGTGACGGTGTCCCTCTCAGGCAACACAAAAAAACAAAGACAGTCGTCTGTTTAAGACATGTGAAAAGTAGAACTGCATTTTTTTTTGTGTGAATATGGTCCAAGGCTATTCATGTGGCAGTGGAAAATACCCATATGTTTGGAAGAGGGTAAACAATTTGATAAATGCTCCAATACAGCCTAAAATCTGATTCAACTTTGTTTTGTCAAGTTGTCAAGTTTGTATAAAGTCATTTTGCTTCAGAAATGATAAGAAACATCCAAGAAAATTATGTTGAGGTGTATGCAAAAAGTTCACAACTGTAGCCTGTTCTCTGGTTTGGGCTATAACTATATAATTTTAACAGACAATATAATGTCATCTATAATATTCCAACAAAAAGGAACAACAAAGAAGCCAAAAAAGATACAAAAAGTGAGAAAAATGACCACATAAAAGCATTGTGAGAACACTGGCCATGTAAATGTGTTGTGACAACACTGACATGCAAGCTCAAGATGTCTGTTAGGCCGATGTGAGCGGGTTGCAAATTGTGCCCAGGCTGCCCTGTCCTCAGGGGCACCAAGACTTGCCAATGCATTTCACTTTTTGGCTTGTGCTAACTTTTGAACAAAATTGCCTTGCCCTATTCTGGCACTCCCCACAAAATCATTTAGTAAGAATGCTACAAAAATGTACTGAAAAGAACATCAGCTGCTTGATGCATCTCTGCAGTCCTAATGAAAGCTTGTTTGGGATGGTAGTGTGTCATCAGAGGTAAAGCTTTTTTTAGTTAGAGGGGGCTGAAGCTCCCCTCACTTGAAGAAGGCAGTGGGCCAAGTCTGGTAAGAAATATTTTGGGGGGCATGTTCTGGGAGTAAGTTGTGTCAATGTCTTCTTAACCTTTCCCCAACTCCATCGCCCCACAATGATTCTGTGAAACTGAGCTCTTGGTCAATCTAGATTTGCACTGATGCTCTTCCTACATTGTTCCATATCTACTAGGATTCTTAGCACCAGTGGCTTGGTGAACTAATGATGGAAGTTGTGTTAATAATAGCCTTCTCAAACAATTCAGGCCTGTGACCAGCTGGTTGAAATTTGTCCTTTGTTCTTCATGGAATGGAATGGAATGAATGAATGAATGAATTGTTCTTCATGGAATTTTTTCTCATGCATGACAAGAGAAAACTCCAGCCCCCCCCCCTCTCAAGTCTATTCTGTTGATATATTATTCCAAAATAAATTGCATCACAAACTATGCCCCTGACCTGAGATTACAACAGCTCAGCACAGAATAATATGACAGTAAATTAGCCTGTCTGTGTTTGGGACTGTTTGCCTGGACCTTCACTCATCTCACCTGAAGTGGTCACTGAAACCAACCACAGGCTGTCAAAGTCAGGAGAAAATAGCAAGCATATGCAGCATCTTGAGCCCTACCTGTCATATGCTGGCTGGGATGCTGATGTTCAAACCAAATTGGATCAAGGGAAGTTAATTGTATGTGTAAAGTGTGATACATATCTACAGTTAATATTAAAAACCATATATGAATGGTTTGGCACAATGTTTCATGATGAGGAAAGATCATTTTTAGAAATACAAATTGTACACTTTTTCCCATACTGAACTCAGCAAAACATGAAATTACAAAAATTTAATGAACTTTCAAGTTTGAATTTTTCATGCCAATCCACATATAAAATAATCAATGAAACTTTTATACTAACTATGATGTGGACAAAACCAGGTTGCTTAAAGAACTACCTGTTCAGTGTATTTGCAAAGTATTCTTAACCCTGTTTTTTTACACATCACTTAGAGAGCTATACCTTAGACAGTAAAACAATGCAAAGGAATATGGGTCAGATATAATGAGAAAAGCATCTCAGGGTTGCATGGTTGGGAAATGTGTGCATAAGGCACAATGTGGCTTGTCCCACCTCCTCTATCAAAACCATTTTAAGCAACTATCAAAGGTTCATGCACCACATACAGAACCATGCTCATTGTCCGGAAATGAAACCTTTGTTGCACTTGTATTTGTATTGCATTTAGTGCCTCTGACTGCAGTTCTCTTTTAGGATGTTAACAAGATACTGTCATACTTAAACCAGGGAAGGATGTAGAAGTGGCACACTATATTCTCCATTTAAAATGTCATATTGCACAGATGAACCATATTGAGCAGCACAAGATATATCTGCTAACATGGTGCCTGCAACTGGAAACTAGGAAATGATGTTAAAACATTTAAGGGAATGAGAAATAAGTGCATAGGAGCATTAAGTTACTCACAAAACTATATGGCAGCCACAGTGATATCAGTTGGATTGAGCAAAACTTGGAAAATAGGTGTCACACACATGATTATAAAGACAAGACAAAATAACACCAGCCAAATCATCAAGTTAGATCTAAAAGTTAATACTGCAGAGAGCAAACTTAATAAGAATGCATGGGACATATACACTAGCATGGTAGATGCAGTTCAAAACCAGAAAATGATACTTTAAACAATTTTGAAGGATGAGAACAAAATAATTACTTCAGAAATAGTACACCAAACATACAGTGCTACTTCTTGGACTGGGTAAAAAATAGTGTAGGGGTGTCTTTCAGCAACTAATTATAAGAACAAGATAACATAAGCACCTGACATATGTTACTATTGCTGACGATTCCAAGACATCATCGCACGGCAAAATCAGGCCATACCTTCAGCCCAGTTCCTAACACGATGGCATCATATTCTTCGTCCATCCTTGCAGGCGATTATGTGATTCTCTAATAGGCTTAAACTCCTTAACAGTATTCTGTACGCTTTCCCACAATTACGACCCACCCCACCCTGACGCGTGACGCCGTCGACAGAGAGAGAAAGAGGGAGAGGGCGTCGGCGGCGCAACGGTATGCGCTGAAGCGGCCCAATCGGTCCGCCCAGTTTGGGCTGCGCCACTTTTTGTCATTTGTGTGCCAGGACTGCAGTAATCTCCTCAGAAAATGACGTCATAGAGATAGCAATTGACGTCATAGATCCATCCATTGTTTCTGGTGGCGAGCGCTCAGTTGAGTCTAGACCATCGCCGTAAAAATGCTTGGGTAAGATGCCCGTGCTTTAATAACTGGTGATCAGCAATGTTGCAGCAATGGAAGATTGCGGGATTCCCTACCGGAAAGGGAGGCGTCTAGCGGTCCCTCGTTGCGGCGATGAATGTTGATCGGCCATTCGCTTCCATCACTGCGTGCACTGCTGTATTCTGTTCACCTGCGCCATTTAAATACACGATAATGTGATCGTATATTTTCAAATAGTTGACCAATGAGTTATGTTTTCAACACTGCCACATTCATCTTTTTCGACTGTGTATCGCAGAAATGTTCAGTGTGGCTTAATGATAAACATTTTGCCTCACCTGCCAAGCAGTCAATATGAATAACATCGTCGCGGGCTGACAAAAACCTAGTTGTGCTAGCCATGAGCAGAACCAAGTGATGATTGTTGAAGGTATATTTGTTTCAGAAAACGTTTGCGAGAGGAGAAAGGTAGATAAAAACCGGCAAATTCAACGGCATGATGTTTGATACCAATATGTATGCTGGCGGCACTGTCTGTCAGTTCATATATAAACGAATATTGCTTTAAGAAACTCATTTCCTTTCGATAAAGGCATGCAGACGAAATATATATTCACCTACCACGCCAGCCTCCTGGTTATTCTACGAGGCATATAGACTATTTGTACTGTCTTATCGGCAGGGAATAGTAACGACATCCCAATACCAGATGGGCAGTACACACTGGCATGCAATCGGCGGACAGAAAATGAAAACAGCAAACGGAAGGTAGGAACAACAATTATACGACTAAAAAATGCAAAATGTGCGGCAAACAAGACAATGGCAGACATAAGCGTAGGAACGTGTCATTTCGTAGGAATTGGGGGTTGGGGGGGGGGGGGGGGAGAGGACAGGCTCGAGGTATACTTCAGGAACTTATTTTGTGAAGCAAGCCCTGTGACTGCGGGGATAGATATAGCGATTATTGTCCACTCTTAATTCAAATAGCACTTTGGAAATAATTAAATGTGACTGCTGCTGGGCTAGACATACATCCACAGCCGTTTCTCACGGGCTTAATCATGTCTTTCCGACTCATGTATGTCTTTCGGTAAAAAGGCTCTCCAGTTTCCTACGATTTTTCGTCTATTTTCACACCGTTTTCCTGGGGGCGCGGAGCCCCACGAGCGGGTAGATATTTTGGATCATTGACGAGGCATGTACTTCCACAGAGTTGATGCCAAATACTACCTCGACATAGGCTGGTCAGAATTTTGAATGCGAATCGATGGCCCACAGGGTCTTTAAATTTGCATGCGCGTAGACTTCGCGAGTTTCTTTTCTAGATATAAGATTTGTCGCAGAATGCTAAGCAGAAACAAATTCGGAAGCTCAATACTTACTGCCAAAAACATTGCGACAAAAACCATAAAACTGGAGTTTTTCCTTAAACACTAGGTCACAGAATGAAAGCTCTTTTGCCATATGGTTCCCTATCTGAGCCCTGCCCCCCTCCGCCGTCAGCAGCCTCTGGCCTGGCCCGGCTGCCCCCCCCCCCCCCCATCAGTACTGACTGCGAAACTGATCGTATGGCTGCTTTGCTGCATGTTTATGGAACAGCATTTTTAGTTATTGTTGTGTAAAACAAAACACAGGTAAAAAGGTTGTCTTAGTTTTATTGCTATTTTTACCCTGTTATTAGAACAGAAACGGAAACCAGAAGGCGCCGGGAGATCTATTCTGTTTGTATTTTAAAGCCAATAGGCTACATGAATCATGCGTTGAACAATTGCATGAAATCAATCACCAGTGCTCTTGATTTATAACGGCTCAGTAGACCCTTTCTAAACCGATACAATTCAAGAGTTTCGTCAGCTTCTTTATTTGGGTCTCACAGCCACATTCAGGGCTCTGCGAAGGTAGATTGTATAGCGAAACGTTTGAAAAAGTGCATTAACATGGCCAAGCCATGTTTGCCTCGAAATTTCCCACATTCAGTCGGAATCGATAGCGATACAAAGTATGTGGCCGTAGTTTTGAAACATGCGCGCTCGCAAAGCTTAGCACCAAAAGCATCAACGCCAGGCGTTGCAGGTCTCCGCATACCACGAAGCGTCGGCTCAGCGGTTAATATTGAGCTGTGGCTAACGGGCGGACGACGAAAGTGATAACGCTTCTGAAAGAAGTACCTTTCAACACTTAAATTGATTAGTGATACAAATTATGCTACGTAGTTTTGAGTATGCGCGCTCGCAAACCTTGGCAGCAAAACCTCGACGACAGGCGTTGCTAGTCTCCGTAGGCTCCGCACCGTCGGTTCAGTGGTTAACTTTGCGCTGTAGCCAATTAGTGGACAAAAATGATGACGCTTTTGAAGAAGTACCTTCGAACGCTTCAGGATTTCCAATCTTACGCTTAGAAGGCGGGTCTGGGCAGATATTTTGCCTGTGCGATTTGTAAATTGACGTTATGATGAGATTGGATTGACCGTTACAGTACTGCAAAGTGGTGCTCGAATCGGGTGTTGGATCTAGAATAGCGAACGTAGAAGGTTTATTTTGTGTTGCTGTAACTGCTAATCGAACAGATTAACCACGGCGACCGCCTCCTGGCGTCACTCGCAGTGGCCAATGCCGTTCGGTTTTACGAAAGCTGCAGCCTAGGCCAGCGCAGTCCTTGCTCCTGAGATTGCCTGGCGCTCACTTTCAAACCTTTTCATGTCATTTATCTCACTAATCGATTCTGCGAAAGAGCTAACGTTCTCAGGCAAACATGGGGTGGCCTTGTTCGTTTTTTAACTCACTTAGACACACTCTGTTCAGCGATAAGGAGACCCCTTGTTTCATTCCGGGCCAGGGGCCCTTTGAGTATAGCACTAGGGACACATTACTGCTCCCGGTCAAGGGTTGAAGGGCCATTCCGTCCCATCGCGGAGTGTCTTCCGGCTGTCATTCTGGTGACAAGGGGCGGGATCCCCTAGTCGATCCCCCGATATCCCCTTGGAGGGGTACATCATATCACATTGTTCTCCTCCCTGACACGGGAGGCCTTCCGACCCGCGCAGTCGTGGCCCCGGATCAACGCTAGAACCCTTATTGATTTGTTTTGTTTTATGTTTTGCATGCAGTCAAAATTGATACGTGGGCTTGAACATGTGCACTCGCAAACCTCAGCAACAACAACCTCGACGCCCGGCGCCACAGTCTCCACAGGACTCATGGCGTCGGCCCTGCAGCTGTGGCACTAAGCGATGGCCAATGGGCAAACGAAAAAGATGATACGTCTCCAGGAAGATGGCTGGGGAACTAGATTAATCGGCCGCCAGGAGCCATTGCCCTCCCTGCCCCCCCCCCCCCCCCCCCCTTCCCTGTTTCTTACACCCATGATAGCGGTGACACATGGGATACCCATACAAAGCAATATATGCATGCAACGGTGTCAATTCTTATAAATCATGAGGGTGGCAGAGCCGAGGGCCCGACGACCTACCCCCTCCCCGTTTTTCCCCCAACGGAACTAGCCCATTATTTTGACGAAAGGGATTAGATAGTAAATTTTTGTATGATTTAAAAAGTCCTTGATATGGGTTTCATAGCAGTCCTGCAGGGACAGATCCAGATGGAGGGGGGGGGGGGGCAGCACTAGAGGCACGTGCCCCTTCCGTCCTATTGCTCGGAAGCTACACGTATGACTGCCGTGGGCGGCAGCACGTATTTACGCACGTGCCGCGCATTACGTATTGACGTACGGCGTGAGCGGCACGGCGGCAAGGGGTCAATAAGACTTCCCCTCAGATCTCAGACACCAAGGAATGCATTTGGGATACAAGGGACACAAGGGATACCAAGGGTGTCTTGGCCTGTACGTGAACCCGCTTGTGTCAGGATTTGAAGTTCCTAAATCATGCCTTTAATGAGGCCAAAAAGGGCAAACGGCAAATCTGTGTCTTAAGTACCCCCAGACCTTCTCATGCAACCCCCGTACACCTAGATGCTTGTTTTAAGCAAAGGGTTGCTGGTTTTCATTTCGGGTCAGTGACGTTGTTGACCTATTGAATGTCATGGTGACACAAATCATACAGGACTGCTCTGATTTTGCATTTGAATAAGCGTCAAGGATAACGACAGGCAGTATGTTCTTAACAGAACAATGTTGACCCAGGTCATTTTAGATCGGTAACTTGTTCTGCCCTTTAAGAAGTTTATGAAAGATGTAGTGCGGTTTCTGTTATCAAAAGTTCAAAATGAGCACCAGAAACTACTTCATGCAACAAGCTCTAGAGAAAAAACAGGCTGGTTTTGAGCTTGGTCTGACCTTCATACCTGTCCCTAGGCCAATGGAATTTGTTGATTTAACAGTTGCGTTGCCTAAGGAGGTATCTCAGAGATTATGACTTCGTCTGATTCTCCGTTTTTGCATGAGCTTAGGCGATTTTCTAAGAATTGTCTTAGCTGAACCCATATCCTGATGTTTACCCGTCATAAGTCAGTGACCTTACAAGGTACATCTAATGTTGGAAACTAGACGATCTGCTCTTCAATTGCTTACGATTATGCCAAATTTGGCGCGGATGCGCTGCGCCTTTCGGAAATCATTCCGGACAAACCTTCGGAATGGGTCAAATTGACCTCCACCCGAGCACGTGCTAATGACGAGCGTGGATGTGGGTGCCATCAATATGACATGCATATTTTTTACCACAGTGACGACAAAGTCATCCTCACCGTTGTTTTTATAGGGCATTTGCTGTATCACAT